GCGCTGCTGGCGGACACTTGTGCTCTCGAGGCGGTGGCCGGCGTCGCGGTCGCGCTCCTGCTTGGCGAGCTCAGCCCGGAGGCCACGCGCGCCAATATGGGGGCCCCGATGTTGGCCCAGCGCAAGCGTAACGGGACCCTCCGGCCGATTGCTTGCGGCTCCGTCCTCCGCCGCCTCGCTGCGAGGGGGCCGCCTGTGACGTCTACAAAGACGACATAAAGGACGCAGTCGGCCCCTACCAGTACGCAGTCGGCCGCGCGGCGGGTTGCGAACTCGCGCGAAATGCCTCACAGCGCTCTCTGAAGCGCGCCCGCTTGGGGTCGCCTTGGCGTTCGACTGCTCCAACGCCTTCAACAGCATCCCCCGAGGCAGGGTGCTGGACAGCGTGCGCCAGCGGGCCCCGCGGCTCTTCCAGAGTACCCACAGCTGGCTCAGGGGCACCACGCGGCACTACAGGTGGGACGACCCTGCAGACGACGCCCACCGCATACGGGCTAGCAGCGGCGTGGACCAGGGCTGCCCGCTCTCGCCGGCACTCTTCCCAATCGGCATTGCGGACGCGGTCGACGAAGTCTATGGCCACCTCCAAGCCCTCTCGACCTCCTGCAGGGTTTTCAGCTACCTCGACGACATCATGGTCTTCGTCCCGCCAGAGCACGCGAACGCAGCCATGCAGGTCGTGACCGACACCTTCACCCGACACGGACTCGCAGTCAACCCGACCAAGACACAAGCATGGTCCGCGGGGGGGCGCGGCCACTTCCCCGCCGCTGTCCAGGAGCGCTGGGTCGACCACCTCACGTGTTTGGGAAACACTGCCCCCTGGCATGAGCAGGGGAGGAGGGGGGAGGAGGAGAAAGACAGGGTGACTGTCCACGCCGGCTTTGACGGGGCCATGGCCGTGGCCAAGGCAACGGCGTTTGTCGCTCGCCTGCAAGAGCTGCGACAGGCGGGCCTGCGGGCCGAGAGCGCCTTCACTCTCCTGCAGACCTTCGCCCGCGGATGCGTCGCGCACCACCTCCGCGCCAACCTTCAGGGGGGCTGGACGGAGCAGCTGGACCGCGTTCTTTTCGGCTGCCTGGAGGAGATCGCCGGCGGAACTTTGGGCCCCCGCCAGCGACTCCTGGCCACGCTGCGCCTTGCCGGCGGCGAATGCGCGTTCCCCTCGGCCACCCAGACGGCGCCTGCTACCTACGCTGCTAGCGGGGCCCTCCTTCTTCACGACGTGACGGCCTGCTTCGGAGCCAGCTCACTAGAGGAATTCCGAGCCCGATTCCTGCGGACACAGCAGACGCTCGACCAGGCGGAGGCAGCTCTCCGGGCAGCAGACGCCCTCCAAGCGCCCTTCGACTGGATAGGCTGCGCAGCAGACCCACGGCCCAAGCTTCAGAACCACTGGGGCAAGGCGACCTCCGCGGCCAACAGGGAGAAGCTGCTGTGGACGCTCGACGAGGACCGCCGCCTACGCTTGCGGGAGAACGGAGGCACGGGCGCCGGCAGCTGGCTCCTCCCGTGCCAGCCAGATGACCGCCGCCAGCCCGACCCGTATTTCTGCGGCAACCTGAAGCGGCGCCTCTGCATCCTGGTCTGCCCGCCTGGCTCACGCTTGCCAGCGCCGCCGCCAGGGCTGCAGCCTGTGCGGCGAGCTCCTGGACCCGCGCGGCTGGCACGCAGTCAAGTGCGAGGTGGGTGAGTCCCGCAAAGAACGCCACAACAGCTGCCGCGACTGGCACTTTGCGAAGCGCGCCGAGCTCACCGGCTTCGCCGCGCCCACGGAGCAATCCGCTCCCGCCTGGGATCGTCGACCCCCCCGCACGGGAGTGCTCCAGCAAGCGGTTCTGGACCTCTCCACCAACGACCCAGCCACTGGACGCCACGTTTACGTCGACTGGAGCATCACCTGCGTGCACTCAACCTACGCTTCACGCGCGGGTGCCCGGGCCGACAAGGATGGTTTGGCGGCCGCCCAAGCGGTGGGCCAGAAGCGGGAGCGGTGCCCCCCGCGCGGGGGCGAGCTGGTCCCTCTGGTCTTCGAGACGGGGGGCCGGCTCAGCGACGAGGCAGCCAGCTTCGTCCGCAGCTACGGAGTCGGCCTCGACGACGGCGACCGCTCCGAGCTGCTGGGCGGCCTCTGGCGGTAGATCAGCAGAACCTTCCAAAGGGGTATTGCTGAGATTCTGCTGAGCGCGCTCGGGCGCTAGGCCAGCGGCCCCTTGGCACGGCCACCGCCAGCTGAACCACCGCCGGCGCGGCAACCACCACTACCGCCACCAGCGCCGCGACCACAACCGCCACAAGCTCGACAACCACCGCCGCCACCACCAGCACCACGACGACGACCCTAAGCACGACACCCGCCGCGACCGCCAGCACCACGACTGCGACCACCGCCGGCGCGACAACCGCCGCGGACACCGCCAGCGAACACCACGACCACGACCACCACCAGCACGACAGCGCCGCGACCGCGACCACCAACACCGCTGACCCGACCGCCTCC